ACTAATAAAACTGACAGATGGAAAAACTTAATATAGCACAGAATGAGAGCCTGTGCTACTTCAAGCAACTGTTTCCAATGCAAAAAATATTGGATATAAAGTTCAAAAACTGGGGCTTGGTCCTTGCTCTGTCATTCACTACCAGTATGGTCACACACAAGTTATCTTACCTCCTGAGGTCTTGGTTTTCTCATCTATATAACAGAAATACCTGGACCTCACAGCATGATTTAGTAAGTCCTGTAGTTTTCCTTTTCCAAAATCTGTACCTTACCTGCATATCTGCAAGTCCCTGCCCTATCACTAGGCTACAGATTCTCTGAGGGCAAAATCTGCCTGTTTTGTTTATGCTGAATCCCCAGAGCTTGGCAAATTATAGGTTTCCAATAAAGAACAATGTAATTAAATTTTAGGAAGAAACATCACATGAAAGTGCTTTGCCCACGGCTCTATGAGAGTACCACCACTGGTGATGGCAGATCAGTCCAGTTCTGTCTTCTTCCCTGGGCCAGGTTCCTCAAGGTCAAGGATGCCCTCTACTGTACTCCCAGCATCAGCTTAATATCCAGCTTGACAGGTACATCATGCCTCCTGGCTGAAGGAATGTCTGAAGTACCATTATACTGGACCTCTGAGTAAAAACATGCTCAAAGGTGTCCATGGTATTGGGAGGGGCTGAGGTTGGGGACCACAGATGCACACATTTTTCCCTTTGTTTAATATGTTAACTAAATGGTTAATGAAGTTTTAACAAAATGTGAATTATTTTTACCTTCTTTGTAAGTTAAAATTTTGTTTTTTAGCCTGAAAATTAGATTTCAAAGTATCTAATATTGAATTAATAAAGTACCCATCCAGGTAACAACCTGCAGGAAGCTACCAGCCATCTGAATTGTTATACTTTGACCAAGATAAGCAAGGTGAGGAATAAAAGCACGGCAAGCAACTTACGATCCATATATAGTTAACCTCAGAAAAAGTATGACCCACAAAGAAAAGATGTTACAAAACAGAACATGGGAAGAGAGATGGTAATATCATAAAGTTTGAGGGCTGGCAGGTGGTATGGTGGTTAAGAGCGCTGGACTCTCACATGACCGACTACGGTTCAAGTCCTGGACCTGTTGGCTTGCTTCCTCACTTTCCCACTCTCTCTTGCTCTGTCCCTCTCTGATCAAATTTAAATAAATAAATAAAGTTAAATAAAACAATTCTGCAGTTTGAGTCCCAGACCTGGTGGCTTGCTTTCTCGCTTTCCCTCTCTCTCTCTCTCACTCTGAAGTCCCTTTCTGGTCAAATTAAAGTGAATAAGTAAAGTTAAATAAAATAATTCTTTTTTTTAAGAGTTTTTTTTTTTTTTTTTTTTTTTTTTGCTATAGGGCGTGTACGCTCACCAGACAGACAGAGAGAGACAGAGAGACAGAAAGCGAGAGATCACCCCTCAGGGATGATGGCCACGCTGCAATCCCTTCTCCTCCATTCTCCTCTCGGAATCTTGGGCACGCACGCACACGCACACGCACCCGGCGTGAGTTTTAAGCCACCAGGTCCGGGACGCGAACCACAGTTGACTACATGGGAGTCCAGTGACATAGCCATTATGCTAACTGCTAGTACCTAAAATAATTATTTAAAAAGAAATTATTATGAGGTTGGCCCCAGAGCACAGTGAGTAAGTGCTGAAGTCAGACCTGTCACCTTCCATTCCTGTTCTTTGCCTGAGGAGCTAAGAGCTGCTGGGAAAGAAGGCCATGCCTCCATCTGTCACAGTTCCAACGGAAATTTCAAATGGGGAGAGATCCTTGGGGGCCTCATAATGGTGACTGGATGCCCAGGGATGGTACTGGGAGGGGTAAGCTTTGCAAAGGAGAAGGTTGGCTCACTGGTCCAAGAGGTAAGGTCTTGGGCTGCTTATTACAGTCTAAGGTCAGCTTCAAAATTTGGCAAAATTGAAACCGTGAGCTTATTAGTGCCTCGGTATTGGTGTGATTCATAGGTACTGATTTTTGTTTAAGAGGTTTACAAGCAAATTCTTTTTTTAAAAAAATATTTATTTTATTTGTTATTAACATTAGTATTGTTTTAATTTGGACAGAGAGACAGAAAGGGAAAGTGAGAAAGCAAGCCACCAGGTCCAGGCCTTGAACCATGGTTGGCCATGTGGGAGTCCAGCATCTTTACTGCCATGCCACCTGCTGGCCCCCTGATGTGCAAATTCTAAGTGAGAGTTTATTAGGTTGTTGGGAAAATATCAATCAGTTTTCCTATGCAAAAATGTGTCATGTCTTTCCCGATGACCCAATATTAATTTACAAATATTTAAGGACATATCACTCTGTTCCAGTCCATTTTGCAAACAGCTATTGTTTTTTAGGTTTATTTCCATCTTCCACGAGTTTGTGTGCATTGGAGAGACAAAGAGAGAGACAGTATCTTGGGACAGTAACTGGGTCTTGTTGCTGTGATCCACCCCATCTTCAGCCAATCCCAATGCGTGGGCTTATGTATGCCGGGCATACTTGGGGGGAGGTCTCTGGACACAAACCTGGAACCCTCGCATAGGGGTCTGCCTTGCAGAGCATAACGTTTTACTATCGCATCACTGTCCAGCCCTGCAAACTGCTTCTTGCATGCATACTTGATGCCAAGTTCGGGTCCTGACATACAGAGATAAACAAGACCCAGGCTCTGTTCTCTAGGGGCCCCTAACTAGTGTGTGCACTGGTTGTGGACAGAGCCCTTTTCTCTCTGAAATCACGCAGCTTAGGAAGCAGCTTGCTGAGGATGCAATCAAGACAAAGACGTTTGACCGGAGGCCTGGAGTGGTCAGTGGTACTGTGACCTGGTATAACTGGATCCAGAGTTCACGGGGCACAGCCGTCCTCCCCTGCACAGTTCTGCAGCCAGGCCCTGCCCGTGCTTGCTTCCTGCTCTCCCACGGCTCTGACAGTCCTTCCAGTGCTTCGTTGTGCCTTCCTTCTGCAGACGTTTTCACTTGTTTTCACTTTGTGCGAAAGCTCAGGCTCCAGTCCTGGGAGCTGGATGCCTGCAGTTGGTCCCCGCCTTGGGGCTCACCCAGGGTGCACTGATCTCTCTGTCATTTCATCAGGACAGGACTTGGTTTCCCTGGTTTTGCTCTCCTTTAGCCACACTCATTCCTGCCTCCGTGTTGATCTGTGCCACTCTAGTTAGGTTCCTGGCATCCCATGGTGACCCTCTACATTGCTCTGGTCCCCTTTTTTTGCTTTTGCCTTAGGACTTGTGTGCTCACCCGAGAGACACAGAAGCAGAGAGAGGGAAAGGGAGAAATCACACCCTCAGGGGGATGGCCACACTGCAATCCCTATTCTCTATTCTCTATTCCAATTCTCTATTTTCTCAGGATTTGGGGCATGCATGTACATCTACCCAGATTGATTTTCTTTTTATTTTTTTTAAAAGAATTATTTTATTTATTTATAGTATTATTCTTTTTTTCACATGCGTTTTGCCAGAGAAAAACAGAGAGAGAGAGAGAGCTAGAAAGCAAGCCACCAGGTCAGGGACTTGAACTGTGGTCTGCCATGTGCGAATTCCAGTGCCTCAACTACCGCTCCACCTGCTGGGCTCCCCAGCTTGATTTTCAAGGCAACAGGTCAGGGACTAGAACCATGGTTGGCCCCAGTAGCTGAGAAACACACTGGGTGTGTTTAGGTGCATGCCCCAAATCCCAGTGGGATGGAGAAATGAAGTGATTTCAGTATGACCATGGACTGTCGTGCGGGAGGGGGGACGTGCTTGCATTCTCTCTTTCCCCTGTTCGCTGCCCTTCTCTCCCTGGTGAGCACATGGTCCCTCTAGCAAAACAAAACAAAACAAAACAAAACAAAAGACAAAAACCACCTTTCTGTGACTCTCCAATACCGATAGGATAAAGTTTGAATTCTTTTTTTTTTGGGGAGAGATTTTCACTGTAGGGCGCGTGCGCTCGCCAGACAGACAGAGAGAGACATAGAGACAGAAAGCGAGAAATCACCCCCCAGGGGGGATGGTCACGCCGCAATCCCTTCTCCTCCATTCTCCTCTCGGGATCTTGGGCACGCACGCACACACGCCCGGCGTGAGTTTTAAGCCACCGGGTCTGGGACACGAACCGCAGTCGACCGTGGTCGACTACGTGGGAGTCCAGCGACATAGCCATTACACCAACTGCTGGTTCCCAAAGTTTGAATTCTTTAGCAGCGATAGAAGCCCTTTCTGATCTGACACTTCTGGGAGTTCCTGCCAGACTCTGTTCATGGGGCCTCTTCTGTCTGTCTGTGCCCCCTACTATCCAGTTTTGGAGAACTCTCATTCCTTCTTTAAAACCCATTTGATTTGTCACCTCCTCTAAAGACTTTTCTGGAACCCTCCCACACAGGCAGTCCTCCTGGACCTCGGTTCCCTGAATCTTGGGCAGGGTCTCCTGTAGAGCTCTGTGGGACGCGGGAATCCTTCATTCTCAGTGCCTTGCATAAGGCAAGTTCATTCTCCGAATGCATGCAATGGATAACCAGAAACTAGCAAACCTAAATTCCCAGGCACCAAGGTACAATTTCACGGACAGAGCCCAAGGGCTTGTGACTGAATCTGCGGAGTCATCGAGCCACCCCACTCTAGTGCCCAGGACCAAGCCTAGCGTCACACCAGGGCATAGCAAATGCAGTGATGAGGCCGTTCCCCAGAGAGGTGAGAGTGGAAGACCTGGGGGACCCTGACGCAAAGCCAGAGGGCAGCCTTTGGAGGAGGAATGGAGTTCAGTGTCCCAGAGGAAGAGCAGGGGAGAGCCTGTCACAGGCTGCCTGGCGCAGACCCAAGCAGGGGAGGGAAAGAACTCATTCATCCCGGGCCAGCCAAGAGCCCGCAGCGCAGCAGGCTGGCCCGGCCCAGGTCCGGCCTCAAGGCTGGGAGGGGATTTCCTCAGCGCCCCCTCCTGGGCCGGGCTGGCTGGAAACCTGTCCCGACGATTTTAGTTTGGGGAGGGACCAAGGAGCAGCGGGCACGGCGGGAGCTCCAGGGCAGCTGGCAGCTCCGTGGCTCCCGCCTGGAACCCCGGGACCAGCCTGTGCACCTGGGATTCCGCTGCCTGGGTCTCCAAGGTGAGATGGGGCGTCGGGAGCGGGGGAGGGAGTCGGGGTGTCACAGCCGGGCGGCCACAGGGAGCGCCAGGGCGAGGAGCGCCAGGCTGATGCCGGCTGGAGGCGGCAAGTGTGGGCGCTCCCTGGGTAATCTCCCTTCCGGACTAACCTCCCGGACTCGGAGTCGCCGCTTCGGATCCTGCAACTTCCATGTTAAAAGTTGGCAGCCTGTCGGGCCGGGACGCAGCGGGCTGCCTTGTCCCAGGAAGGTGGTGGAGGAAAGGTAATTTCACTTCGCTTCCCTGCTCTACTCAGTCACTGGCTTTTCTCTCTCCCTCCATCACATTCTCCCCAGGGAATTACCCCCACAACCCCCCTTTCTGCCCCCACTGAGCCAGTTCGAGGCTCTCCTTGCCCCGGTGCTCCCTGGAGCCCCCAGCAGAGACCATCTCAGCGTCGTCCTGCAAGGCCGCTCCCTGGGTGCTGGTTTCCTCCTTCCTGGTGCTCTGAGGGATTTCACTCACCCCGCATTAGTGCCTAACCGTTTGTTTATTATTCACGTTGGAACATGTGCCTGGATTCTCTGGGGGAAGGCCACACGTTTTCTGCTCCTTCTGGGAAATAGGGCAACTAAATTTATTCCATAGGCTTTTTTTTTTTTTTTCTGGAGAGAGGAGAGAGAGACTCATCCCCTGGGACCGGTGCGTGGCATGGTGGTTAAGGGTGCTGGACTCTCACATGGCTGACCCTGGTTCGAGTCCTGGACCTGGCAACTTGCTTTCTCACTTTCTCTCTCTGGTCAAATTTAAATAATACATAAAGTTAAGTAATTCTTTAAAAAAAGAAAGAAGAACGCATCCCCCCCCCCCCCCCCGCGGGAGAGGGTAAGACCACACACCCCCCCCGTGGGGAATGGTAATGCAGCAAACCCTCCTCCTCCATTTCCCCACCCTTTTGGTATTTTGGATACACACATACACACAGAGCATGTTTTCAAACACTGGGCCTGAGGGTCGGCCATGTGGGACCCAGCGCCCTTAACCACCAGGCCATGGGTTGGCCCATCCACAAACATGTAAGGATCATCCCAAGCTGGTGGGCTATGTGGCACAGTGGAAAATTATTTTGGAGTCACAGAAAGACCTGGATTTCAGTCCTACCGCCATCTCCTGTTTCCTTCCTGAGTCTCAGTTTCCTCTTCTGTAAAGTGGTATTTTTACCAAGATGACAGGAGACAGTGCACATCAAAGTGCTGAGACTGGTGCCAGGCACTGGGGCCTCGATAGACACCTGTGCTCTTCTTCTCTGACCCCCTTCCTACTATGGCTCTGAACTTGTACCTCCCTGACTTAAGGGTTGTAAAGCTTTATAAGACAACCCATGGCCTTGAAAACACTTGGGCAGACTTGTAAACACCAACCTGGGCAATGAAGGAAGAAGAGCGGGAGGCCACCGAAAGGTGGGGCCAGGACTGAATAGGGAAAGTGTCGGCTGCAGGTTTGAGGTGAAAACACTGAGCCAGGGCTGGGTCCAGACTCTCCTGGTGAGTTTCTGAATTTGCACACTTGTACTGAGCAAGTGATGGGAACTACCCAGTGCTTGTCTCATTTAATGTAGCCCTGTTTTGGTATTATTTTTGTTTATTCATCTTTTAAAAATAATTATTTAATTTAACTTTATTTATTTATTTTTATTTGAACAGAGAGAGAGAGAGAGAGAGAGAGAGAGAGAGAGAGAGAGAGAGAGAGAGAGAGAGAGAGAGAGAGAGAGAGAGAGAGAGAGAGAGAGAGAGAGAGAGAGAGAGAGAGAGAGAGAGAAAGTGAGAAAGCAAGCTGCCAGGGCTGGAACTCGAACTGCGGTTGGCCATATGGGAGTCCAGTGCCCTTAACCACCATGCCACCTGCTGGCCCCCTGTTTTGGTATTATTATTCCCATTTTATAGCTGAGGAAATGAAGATACAAACAGGTTAAGGGATTTACCCAAGGTCACATGGCAAATTAGCAATAGATCAAAAATTCCAATCTAGGTCAGACCATTCCTGTTTACTCAGCTCCTTGCCTGTCTTTCTCAAGTTTCCGTGGAGTAGAAAGGTTGAAAGCCACCATGATTCCTCTACTGCCCAGACACTGTTTTCACTCCCTGTCTATCTCCTGCTCTGGCTGCCTCATCTGGATGGGGAGGAGCACACCCTCCCCTCATCGTCAGCTCATTCACTCATTCATACGTCATTGTCATTCATCCAGTCAAGGACTTTGTTCATTCCCTGAAACTGCAAGGTTCCCAGAGGCCAGGGACCTATCTGTTGGTTCCCAGTTAGATTACCAGCACCTTGTACATTCCTGGTGCAAAAATGTTCAATTACTCCTTCGTGGGCAAATGAATCTGACAGGTACTTATTGATGCATTCCTCAGACTGGGTCATAGGCATTCAAAGAGGAACAAAACAGCAGGCCTGACCTTAGGATGCTCGGCTTTGCAGAGAAGAGTTATAACAGAAAAACTGACCCTCTAGGCATGGATTCTCACTGATACCTCATTGACATGAGCAGGAGATGCTAAGAGAACTAAGAAGAACATTTAATTTTACCATGTCTGCTTTGTTCTCTACCGTGCCCTCCAAAATGCCAGGCACATACATGGTGGGTGCTCGGTAAAGCTTTGCAGAAGAAGCATAAAGATCGAAGTCTTGAAGGGGATGGGATGCAGAGACTTCCTTCTGGGGAGGAAATTGAGGAGGAAAGAGAGAAGAACAGAGAGAAGAGCTCATGAAAAGGTGTAGGAGGGGGACTGCTAGGGACTCAGTATAGCTGGGATGTAGGGTGTAACTAGGGGAACGGCAAGAAGTGAGAGTGGATATGGGTTGGCAGGTGGCGTGGTGGTTAAGGGCGCTGGACTCCCGAATGGTTGACTGCCGTTTGAATCCTGAACCTGGCGGCTTGCTTTCTCACTTTCCCTCTCTCTCTCTCACTCTGTCCCTCTCTGGTCAAATTAAAATAAGTAAATAAATAAATAAAGTTAAAATAAAAATAATCTTTATAAAAATAAAAAAAGAAACGAGGATAAATAAATAGGCAGGGCTCACGTCGCATGGCCCTTGTGTGTCCTGGTAAGGAATGTAGACTTCATGCCAAGGGCATTGAATACCCATTGAAGGGATTTAGCAAAGGGAGAGACACTGCCTGATTTGCATTTCAGAAGCGTGGCTGGTGCATGGAGTCTAGGAGGTGATACCCAGACTTCCAGGCCTGTCTACCAAGGAAATGAGCCCTGTGTTTTAGGACTCCCTGGTGGTTTGTTCGCGAAGTGCCTCTTGAGTTGTGCTATGCCCTCATCTGCTTGTGGTGCTCTGCCTCTCAGTTGCACACTGAAATTTAGGAAGAATTTACCATTGTGTAATAGGGAGCAAGTTCTAGAATGTACTTCTTGCTAGCCTGCAGTCCCTCGTGCTTTCTTGTGGAAGAGAGTGAGATGGAGTTGTGGAGTTGTGGATGCAGGGACAGGAGTTCTACCTAAGCTCTGAATGTGCTCAGGGTGGGTCTGGGAGGCCGGTGTTCCCGGAACTGGGCACGGATTGCTTTAAAGGGATTGCCTCCAGGTCCTCAGCTTCCACAGATACTCTTTCCTAAATGCAATCTGCTTGCTTGAGTTCCTTTCTCCTTTTCAACTCTCATTGTTTTCTCTCTTGGGTCTTAGGAAAGAAAGTCACATGTCCCCTCATTCTAAGTCTTTCCTCAGTGCTTTGTCCAAAAGGACAATTAGAGAATGCTCTGATCCTAAGAAAGAGATTAGATAAGAAAACGTGAAGAGAGTGGTGCCTTCTACAGACTCAGTAATAATTTTATTGAAACACTTGTTTGATTTGAATTATGTGCCACATACCTTTCTAACGGATTTACAGACAATAAATTAATTGAACATTCATACCAAATGTATAAAGTAGATGCTTGCTAACCTCCTTTTACAGATGAGGTTCTATCAAAGTGAGGTTTAATAAGTTGTCCAAGGTCACAGAGCTATTAAGTGGTGAATTCAGAATTAAAAAAAAATATTTATTTATTGGGGCCAGCAGGTGGCGTGGCGGTTAAGGGGCTGGAGTCTCAAATGGTTGACCTCGATTCCAGTTCTGGACCTGATAGCTTGAAACTCATGCTGGGCGTGGGTGCGTGCCTGCCCAAAATCCTGAGAGGAGAATGGAGGAGAAGAGACTGCAACGTGGCTCTCCCTCCTTGGGGGCTGTGGTAGGCAGTTAGTTGGTCATGAGCAGGCAGCCCTAAGAGAAAAGCGAAAGGGCATTTTGGTCAACGCCCTGATACCCACTAGGTCAACGCCCTAATTCCCACTAGGGCGATAAACTCATTAGGCAGTCTAACTAAAACAACCTGGCTCACATTGGGCATGTGCAATTAGGTAACCAAATTCCTCATTCTTTATCTGTGAGAATAGTACGCAAGGGACCAGCAGTTAGCGTAATGGTTATGTCGCTGGATTCCCATGTAGTTGACTGCAGTTCGCGTCCTGAACCTGGTGGCTTAAAACTCACACCGGGCGCGTGTGCGTGCGTGCCCAAAATCCTGAGAGGAGAATGGAGGAGAAGGGAATGCGGCGTGGCCATCCTCCTGGGGGGTGATTTCTTGCTTTTTGTCTCTCTGTCTCTCTCTGTCTTCTGGCGAGCACACACGCCCTATAGCAAAAACCTCTCAAATAAATAAATAAATAAAAAGAAAGAAAAGTACACAAGTGCAGGAGAAAACCCGTGGATTTGAATTCAAAAGAAGGACATAGGTAGTGTAACAGACCTCCCACCAATGAATATTCATGAGCTCTAGTAATAAAAATAACAGTTAACCAGTACCAAGCGCAGTTGCCACCTGACAGTCTGCTTGCCCAAGAGTCTTTTGGGTGTACTTTCCTTCCTTTCCCATTACATCTTCTTTTCTACCTACTTCATTCATGGTTGCGGTTTCAGTTTGTGCCTAGGGACAGATCTCTAGTGGTCTGGACCCAAAGAACCAAGGGCTTC